TAAAATATTGTGAACAACCAAACAAAAAATCAGATCCGGGCCACTTTTACCAGCTGTGTAAACGTAGCCTAAGATGTTTCAGTCATCTGATTAGGTAGTAGTCAGTTAATCGCCTCCCGCTGAGCCGCCAGTTACAGTCTGAGGTAGTCCAGTTAGTTTTCGAGGCAGGGGACATAATAGAGTAACACGAAAGGAACGGTTGGTCTATTGTGGCTCTTTCTCTCGCACTGCTTGTTGTGCTGCCTCAGCTGCTTCAGATAACACTGGGGTCAAGGGGCCTGGTCCTCAGTTATCAGTAGCTTCAATATCAGTGAGCGAGAATAACTTTTCGGAAATTCCAGCAGTGTCTGATGGTCGTAGATGTAAGCAGTAGTGAATGAGATCCACTTACAAAACAAATAACTTGAGAAATTCACATGTGAAACAACGTTTAGCAGAGAGAGTTTTTGTTTTTGTTTTTTTGTACAATAAAAATGTTTCACAGTTACTTCAGTTATTAAATATGGTTCTTAGTAAAGATTGTCAAAAATCTCTTCCTAATTCTGCAAATACTGTCTCTCTCTCTCCCTCTCTCTCTCTCCCTCTCTCTCTCACTGTTAATGAAGGAGTGGATGCTGAGTTTGTGTGGCAGCTGGCTGGCTGGCGGCAGCTCTCTCGTTAGGAAATGAAAAAGCTCGTCAACTCTCGTTTAGCACGCAGCAGGAGAGCCTGTTGTTCTCTCGCTCAGTGCCAGGTCCTCACTCGTCTCCAGCATGGGGTGTTAGGGCCTGCAGACAGACCTGAGGGAGCACTTGTGCACTCACCCTGTTCCATACACACACAGGCCATCACAAACATTCACATAGAGTTCACACACACACATCATTTATAGTAACGTGACCCCAGGCTTAGTTCTCAGAGCAGTCCTACCAGCACCGTCTAAAACAAAATCAAGTGTTAAATTCTTGTGCCAAATCATGAGCATCACCCAGTCCAACCATGATCGCTGTCGTCTGTTGTAGGGTTGCATGAAATGGACAGAAAATTAGTATTGTGATCATATCATAGAGTGTCATGCGCCTTGTTATGTATATTCAGTATGTGAATCACAAACATGACTTCGTTAAGGATTGTCCTGCATTGTACTGTATGCATTACATTGGGACAGTCATGGGCTGGAGGTTAGGGAACCAGCCCTGTGACCAGAAGGTCGCCGGTTCAATCCCCTGAGCCGACAGTATGTAACTGAAGTACCCTTGAGCAAGACACCTAACCCCCAACTGCTCCCCGGGCGCTGTGGATAGGGCTGCCCACCGCTCCGGGCAAGTGTGCTTACTGCCCCCTAGTGTGTGTTCACTAGTGTGTATGTGGTGTTTCACTGCATGGATGGGTTAAATGCGAAGGTGAAATTAACTTATTGACCGAAATAATACATTTCATTTAATGACTCGAATGCCTCGGTTCATCAAAACACCCAGAGAAACTCACCTGGAACTGGTCGGAATACAGTAAAACCATTGTGATTGGTTAGAGACTCCTTTGCATATTCTGTGACAGCAGGGTTAGGCCTGGGAGATAAAAAAAAGGAAAAAATAAAAAATGGATTATTGGTCTATCGTAGCTTAGCTTGAACCTTTTTGAATCACCCTGTATTGTGCAGGTCCACTCTGTACTACTGTGCACGTTATGTAGTTATCCGTGGCTCTTTACAGTGGCACAGTAGATCGACCTGATCTGTGATATTTCCATTTTCCTTCATAAACGATGTGATAAACATTTGGAGGCAATGTTACATTTGTCATTATTGCCCATTATCTTTGCTCTGCGGTGTTGTGCTGTTACTGCCGGAGCTCTCTTGCCAGAGTAACTGTCAGTCCATTCAGTGCAGCATTTCTCACACTTATCATTATTTCTTTAAGCTTTGTTTAGATACCAATTATCCCATAATTGCGTCAAGTCCATCGGCGTGTGACACGGAGGGAACATGGCATTTTTATGACAGCGGGGTGAAGGAGAAAGGGGAAAGGAGAGAGAGAGAGAGACTTTTGTCATCCCTGCCATGCTCCAAGGCAGAAGGGGCAAGGACTCTATTAATATCTGCCCTGTCTGCGTCTTAATGTTTAACAAGTCCAACGAAGTGACACACGCGGCGGACGCTGCGTAATTGCTAATCAGCGGACAGTTTTATTCCTCTTCTCGCCTAATGAATTTGGCTGAAACGAGGTGTGGGCGGCCGGCCCTTAAACGGCCAGTCAGTCAGTCGGCCGCTGATGTGCGTAGGAGAGAGTGGATAACGCTCGCATCACTGCTAATGCGACCACGAACTTTCACATGCGCTCATGGCTTTTAGCTCTTTAGCGATTTCCTCTTTCCCAGAAATATACAAATAAGCTGTCGTCCTGTATTTTGGGCTGAGGATGCATTAGTGTCAGTTTTGTAATTGGGGTTTTGGAGTTGCTGGAGGTGAAGAAGACGGGAAAAGTGTGGTGTGAAGCCACTATATGGCGTCTGTTTACAGACTAAATCCATGATGAACATCATGTTTTAAGCATGTTACAGTGAAGGACAGCTGAATTATACTTCTTCTTATCTGCAGAAATTTGCAGGCTTTCTTTGCAAGAGGTGTTAATCAACATGCGTGCATATCGCTGCTGTTGGAACAAAACCTTGTGTCTCCATTTTTGTCATTTTTCAGTTTTTGGCATAATTTGAAAATACCTCTTGCCCTTTACTTTGTGTGTAAATTTCATGAAGAATGGACCAACAGAAATGACCCCAAATGACTTGGAAAGAGGTCTGGTTCCACTGACTTACATTAAAAGTAAAGTATGTTTTTTCCTTCTCCTGTAAAGTTAAAATTTTGCAGATACGAGGTTTTCTTCCGACATCAGTGCAGCACACTTTAACGTTCAAACGTTTGGAATCACTTGTCATATTAATAATTGCTGCTTTTGTTCATTAATAACTTCTACAGTGTATATTCAGATACTGTAAGTCACCAGTTGGTATTGATGCTTTGTTTGATATTGAATGTTTTTGGGAACATCAGCAAGTTGTTACATGAGAGTTGATCACATTACAAAAAACAGGCTTTCTGGATCATTTACAACAGTCTGCATCATGGTTTTGTTCATTTTTTTACAGCTTCCCTCAAATAAAATCAAACCTGTGAAGTTGTAGAGTGCTACCATCATAATAGAATAATTTCGTACATGTATCTTCAACAAATCCTTAAAAAGAAAGTCACATTTCTCCTCTCTTTCTCTGTCAAGTGATCAATGAGTGCGTTTACATGCACTCAATAATCCGATCATAACGCATCATTCCCTTATAGCGCAGGCAGACACAAGTGGTTTTCTTGCTACTGGCTGCATGCTACAAAAAGGGAAAAGACTTTGAGTCGTCAGACAAATTAAAATCCATTGCGACTATAAACTCCCACCGGAGCTTATAAGAAGTCATGCTTGCTGCTAACCTGGAGGTGTTACTAAAGAGTCTTACTAACGCGAGAGCTGCACAGCGAGGCTTGAACGTAACATAAATGAAATAATGTATAATAACGAAATTTAAATGAATTCTCAATTTTGACACTTGTCTTAGAAAAGGTCAATAAATTATATAAACAATATAATTGCAATAGTTACATTTCTGCACTTATCCAATTATTCAAATGGTCATGTAAACACCATACTCCGAACTAGAAATCTGTTTAAGAAATCTGATAAAGAGGCTGGATTTTAGCTCAGTAATCAGATTTCTCAGTGCATGTATACTCGTACTCGGATTTCTTCCAGATTTCTCAGTCTGCGCATCTGCAAGAGCAGACAGCGGTACTAGATATAAGCAAGCAGCAGTGACGCAAGATGCCAGCAGAACACTTTTGGAGAGGCACTGACACCAAACTCTTACCACAGTTATCATCTGCACTTTATATGTAAATAATACAGTATTTTGCACTTCTGGTTAGATGATAACTGCATGTCATTGGCTCTGTACTTTTACTCTGCACAATGACAAAGTTGAATCTAATATAATCTGATCTAATCTAAAACACAAAATGAATTTAAATATTCTTCATCTTCTAGATGATGTATGTTCATATTTATATTTTCAGGTAAAGTGGCACGATATTTTAAAAAAAAAAACAGCAAGAAGTTTAAGGTCTATATTATGTTTACGTCACGTCTTCGTCCGTGAGTTTATTGGCTGGTTGCAAAGCAGGAATCTGATTACTGTCTGACTCATGTTGACCTGGAGTTTCCCCTTTATCTGATTACTCAAGAGCATGTACACGTGTTGACTTGATTACTGAGAAAATCTGATTTTCTGTAATAATCGGATTACTAAGTGCTTATAACCACACTCATTGTTATCTTCAGTATATTTATAATATGGGAATATATAAATATTTTTAATGTCACACTTTTTTTGCAAACTGGTCCATTTGGTTATAAACTAGCTCTGGTCCAGGTTGAGTGTTGTTCGAGTTTTGTCCTGCCGTCTGTGGTACCAATTAGCGTTTGCTTGACACACAGCTGTGCAGATTTGCATGGCGCTTTGTTGAAATTGTGAGGTGTGCATGTCGTGGCCTTTGCAGGCTTACTCATGAATCTCCTGCCTGTGTCTCTGCTTATACATTTTTGAGGTTTTAGGCTCGAACAATGAACACAGTGTGCCAGACTGCCAGTTAGTTGTGGTTATGTTGTCATGTACACAGCGCAGGGGTGTTTAGTTGCTCCACATTGTTTTAACTCATCTACAGTAGGGGCAGTTCACCAGCTTTGTGTTATTAGGTTGTTAGTCCCCCACTAAAACGTACTAAGACTGTTTTGCTTTGCAGGAACAAATAAAATTTGCAGCTCTTGTGATTTGAAAATTGCACTCAGAAGGTTGATATAGATCTTTTCACTCCAAAATCAGTCTTTATTCATTCTTGCTGGGAAATTAATGTAGTGAAGATAACGGTGGATGTTTGTTTGCTTCTACACATTAATTCCTTTTTTGTATGTTTGTGTTTCCAGGGAATGCTCCTGAAGAGAAGTGGCAAATCACTGAACAAAGAGTGGAAGAAAAAATACGTCACACTCTGCGACAACGGAGTTCTTACCTACCACCCCAGCCTGCATGTGAGTGTGCTCTGTCACATATACATGAACATCTCGGCTTGTGGAGAACTGAGGAATCAGACCTCTGCACAGCAGCTGCTGTAGCTACACTCATTGGTCATTTTCAGTTTTTTTGGTTTACAGTTACTGACTGTAGCTCATCGGTTGCTGCACAGTTCATCCCCCCCCACTGCCCCATCCATCAAATGAAAAGGACCAAAATAGCACCACCACTGGCCAAGCATTACCATAGTGGACCATTCCCAGCTCAGCACTAACTTGCATTAGTTTGTGTTGCACTGCTATAAGTGTGTCAGGCACATCAGCGTCGGCAAAGTGGCTTATAAATTGTTAGTGTGGCATTTGCAAAAAAAAATAGTAGTGGCAAGGAAGCATAGTGCAAACTTGCACAGCACAGGATGTTAGGTGGTTAGTCAAACAGCTCCAGAACGTAAGGGAGCTCTCAGGGGTCTACAAAGCCTGGCGGAACCCTGCTGACAGCAGATACGACGAGGCCAAGAGTAAACGTTGGCTGTTAAAAGGGTCTGTGTTGTCTGTCTGTCCGTGCTTTTATGTGTTATCGCAGAACGGAAAAACACAAACATTTTTAACTGCAAACACTTCAACACAACAAAAAAAAGAGGCATAAACTCACTGGAAGAACAGCCAGTCGCTGAGGCTCACAGGTATGCAAATTAGCTGCTTACTACATACATGCTCAGCGACACTACAGTAGTAACAGATGGGCTACAGCCAGTTATTGTATACCTACAAAGTGCACCTGTCAGGTACTTACTACTTAAGTACTTTATAAAATGAATCCGAATAAGCAGACAAAATAGTGTAGAACATGGAACACATACACTGTACCTATCGGTTCTCCAGTGCACCAGTTGAAATTCTTCCTAAGGTGTGTGTTTTGTCATAGCCTTCATACTGGTATGCCACAAATAAACACAGATAGCCCAATGTACATACAGTGCTCCATACATGCTAACGTTAGACTGTTTAGTGGTTTGGCTTATCCTTAAGTTTGATATTCAAGTATCATGAACAGATATCTGGTTAATGGCGGAAATGGGGAAATCAGTTGGTTTAGTAGAGTTGCATAGAGTTGTGCATACCCTTTTAGGTGACAGCATGGGTGGGATGAGGGCTGTTGGATGGCATGAGGGATTTTACATCAAATGTGGCTTGTGTGAACGTTTAGATTAAAAAATTAAAGCGTCAAACTCAAAATTTTGCCCAACAGTTTGCAGAAATGCCATGTTCAAGATGTGTTCACTTATATATATACAACCCCATTTCCAAAAAAAAGTTGGGACGCTGTGCAGAATGTAAATTAAAATAGAATGCAATGATATGCAAATCATGTAAACCTTATTTGTAAAGGAAAATACTACAGATACAACATATCAGATGTTGAAACTGAGAAATTTTAATGTTTTTTGAAAAATATATACCCATTTTGAATTTGATGCCAACATGTTGGGACGGGGGCATGTTTACCAGTGTTTCATCACCTTTTAACAACACTCTGTAATCGTTTGGGAACTGAGGAGACACTGCTGTAGTTTTGACAGTGAAATGTTCCCATTCTCGCTTAACATAGGATTTCAGCTGCTCAATAGTTCAGGGTCTTATTTGTCATATTTTTCATGTATATATAGTTTAGCATTAATGGTGCCTTCACAGATGTGCACGTCACCCACGCCGTGTGCACTAATGCCCCCTATACCATCATGAATACTGGCTTTTGAACTGTGCACTGATAACTAGCTGAGTGGTCTTCAGCCTGGAGGACACAGTGTCCATGATTTCCAAAAAGAATTTCAAATGTTGATTCGTCGGTCCACAGGACACTTTTCCACTCCCCCTCAGTCCATTTTAAATGAGCTTGGGCCCAGAGAAGGTGGCAGCATTTATGGATCCTGTTTATCTTTGGTTTCTTCTTTGCATTTTAGAGTTTTAACATTTGTGGATGCAGTGATGAACTGTTTTCACAGACAGTGGTTTCCAGAAGTGTTTCTGAGCCCATGCAGTGATTTCCACTACAGAATCATGTCTGTTTTTAATGCAGTGCTGTCTGAGGGCCCAAAGATCACGGCCAGCAAATACTGGTTTTTGGTCTTGTCCCTTACATACAGAGATTTCTCCAGATTCTCTGAATCTTTGTGTTGTTATGTACCGTAGTTGATGAAAAGCAGAAGTTCTTTGCTATTTTATTTTGAGGAACGTTATTTTTGAATTTTTGCTCTGTTTGATTGTGCAGTCTTTCGCAGAGTGGTGAACCCCTCCTCATCTTTACTTCTGAAAGACTCAGACTCTCTGGGATTCTGTTTTTCTACCTAGTAATGTTACTGACCTGTTGTCAGTCAACCACCAGGTGTTTATTTTTTTTAATTTTAGCATTAAACAACTTTACCAGCCTTTTATTGCCCCTGTCCCAACTTTTTTGGAACATGTTTTTGGCATTAAATTCAAAACAGGCATATAATTTTCAATAAACAATAACGTTTCTCAGTTTCAACATTTGACATGTTGTCTTTGTACTATTTTCAATTAAATATAGGGGTTAAATGATTTGCACATCATTTGCATTTTGTTTTTATTTACGTTTTGCAAGGCGTCCCAACTTTTTTGGAAATGGGGTTGTAAATACATACACTCACAATACACTCTGTCACTGCAACGTTCTGCTTTTGCTCTATGCTGGTGCTTCACGCATCATTGCATCCACCTCAGTGAGCGTGGCCTTGCCGTTAATTGCTGGCTCCCTCATCATCTGTTTGCACACGGCTGACACTGATGATGTGCGATATTATGCCATAATGACTCTGCCTAATTACCAGCTTGGCCGGCTTGTTAACACGCACGCTATCTCTGTGCCACTTTATTGGTTGTTCTTCCTCTCTGTGTCTACACTGGAATGTGTTCAGTCCTCACTGTTAGTGTTAATCAAAGCCTGAGTTATTCTCCTAATGTTGCTGCATAGAGAGAGAGAGAGCACACAGGCAGATGGAATGAATGGATAAAGGGAGGGAGAGAGAGATGGCGCAGCCCATGGATGAACGACGACATGGCCAGCAGACAGCTAGATTAGTGAAATGAGAAGTAGACAGCGGAATGAGCGGTCTGGGGTCCAGAGTGAAACGTCCAGAACGTTCTCAGAGCGTTTTTATATATCCTTGTCATGTGCACAAAGACCGTCATTCCCTCAAGCCTCAACAGTATTAGGGCTGTCAAGATTACTTAACAATAAACTTATAGTAGATTGTCCATTTTATCAGCTCCACTTACTATAGAGGTGCACTTTGTAGTTCTACAGTTACAGACTGTAGTCCATCTGTTTCTCTGATACTTTGTTAGCCCCCTTCTACCCTGTTCTTCAGTGGTCAGGACCCCCACGGACCCTCACAGAGCAGGTACTATTTGGGTGGTGGATCATTCTCAGCACTGCAGTAACACTGATGTGGTGGTGGTGTGTTAGTGTGTGTTGCGCTGGTCTGAGTGGATCGGACACAGCAGTGCTGCTGGAGTTTTTAAACACTGTGTCCACTCACTGTCCACTCTATTAGTCACTCCTACCTTGTCGGTCCACCTTGTAGATGTAAAGTCAGAGATGATAGCCCATCTGCTGCTGCACAGTTTATGTTGGTCATCCTCTAGTCCTTCATCAGTGGTCACAGGATGCTGCCCACAGGACGCTGTTGGCTGGATATTTGTGGTTGGTGGACTATTGTCAGTCCAGCAGTGACACTGAGGTGTTTAAAAACTCCAGCAGCACTGCTGTGTCTGATCCACTCAGACCAGCACAACACACACTAACACACCACCACCACGTCAGTGTTACTGCAGTGCTGAGAATGATCCACCACCCAAATAGTACCTGCTCTGTGAGGGTCCATGGGGGTCCTGACCACTGAAGAACAGGGTAAAAGGGGTCTAACAAAGTATGCAGAGGAACAGATGGACTACAGTCTGTAACTGTAGAACTACAGAGTGCTTGATCGGTGTATAATAGTTTAACATTTTAAAAGTTTTATCTTTTTATCTTTTTCCCAGTAAAGTATTTTGGGCTGCTTATTGTATTATTAATGTTTATATTTGTTCAGTTGTTATTGTTTCCTTTCATTGACTTCCAGTCAATTATTCAAATGCTAATATAAATAGAGATTGTACTGTTCAGATACCAGGTATCGGAGTAGGCTAGTAGGGTAATTAATCATTATACAACGTAGCCAATCAGAAAATAGATCATTTACATGTATCCGCCTTAAAGGAACAGTAACAAAAACTGCCATAAAGAGATGTTAATGTGAAAATGAATTTTGACTGCTTTGCTACATAAACCTTCACAAATATTAGAAAAGACTTAATGGAATAGCAATAAAATATAAGAAAAATGTAAAATATGGTTCATTTAAACATGTAAAACATGATAAACATGCTCCAATAAATTGGCTGTTGCTGTTTGAAATAGTGTGTATAATATAAAGTGCGTAGTACAGGAGTTCTGAAGTGTCCCAGACTGACTGAAGAAGAAACATCACTGTAGTTTCTGATCAACCGGTATCCAATGGCTGGCTGTCTAACTTAATGAACAGTAGACTATAGTTCATTATACTGTTATTGTTCAATGGCTCACTCTTCTGGACACTTAACAGCTCTCATAACACATTGTCTTGCTCTCATTACCACCATGACTCACCACTGTTGGCATCGTCTGCATGTATTCACAGAAAGTGCCATTCCATAGCTTCCCCTTCCTCCGGTGAACAGGTTGCTCTCATCAGCGGGCGTCTGCTACGCAGGCATCAATTAAAGTGTTTGTGGAGGCTAATAGAATGAAACTCAATCAGGGCCCTTAATTGCTCGACTACGTTTAAAAAAATCACATTAATGCAGCTAATTAAGTAGATGGCAATAGATGCAACATAATTAGCACCAAAACACGTCACTCTTGAAAGAAACACGGGAACGTGGGGTCTAAACAGCTAACAGGCATTTTTAATTCACGC